GGGTCCGCAGGGTCCGCAGGGTCCATGTCCTTCGGGTCCATGAAGTGCTTTCCGCCAGCCTCGGCTCCGGGCGCAGCTTACGTGATGCGTGCCTCAAAGCCCCGGGCTGAAGCCCATCTTTGGCGCTGGTGCTTGGCATTGCTGGCTCTGCCGGGTGGCTGGACTGATTGGACGTCAACCCGGAGGTGCCGGACAGCTTTGCAAGCCCAAGGGTCCTTCTGCATACAGTCTGCTTTCTCGATACTTGCGTTTTGCTTTCGGGGAGATGGGTTGCCGTATTGGCGGATGTTTGCAGAAGAAAACACGAGCTGGCATCGGCTTTTTACTTTTTCTCCTCGATTCGGTTGACCATGGCAGACCAGGTTTGGGGCAAAGGCGAAGCAGCCGCCTGCCCAGTGTCCCTGTCTTTCTGGATATCTTTACAAAGATTGCTGCGGGCGATGTCACAAGGACCAGCATTTGATGGTGAAGCCATTGTGTGCACCCTTCCTGTCTCAAAAGGACTAGCGCACTTAGGGGCTTCATCGACTTTATTTATTAAATTTCTTGCTTGATTCAACCGGCGAAAGGCAGAACCACACTGGGAGGACCTCAACGCAGTGACCTCGCCGGAGCAGCTGGCAAGAGCGCGATATTCAGCTCTTGCTCTGAGAAAATACAATTTTCTTCTGGCGCCTCACTTGAACATTCGATTTTAGCCTTCACCGTCTCCGCAAGTCGAGCTATTGCGATTGACTGTAAATCAGCTGGACGTGGGATGTACGTCTGCTGGACCAAGGATACCACACACTCCTCGCATCCAGACTGCCAGGAGCCTTCAGAATCCATCCACAGTTGCGCAGGGGGTGAACCATTGCTTAGTGTGTGATTTGGATGTGAGGAGGACAGACATGCGTGGAAACAACGCATTGCGCGCAACAATCGCGGCTTTCGCTACGTGGGCCTCAACGTGACCGCATCCGAGCCACAGGGCGAGGACCATGCGGTGACCATCGAGGCTGCCTGCGAGCCTGTTCGCGCTCCAGATGTGCCCGAGGCTGGCCACTGGGAATATATTGTCAGATGCTATCATAAGTTCCCAGAAACAAACACGAGGACTGCCCAATCATCCCAAGCCCCCGATTTGAATGATGCAGCCATCGTTTGGAGCATGAGCCAGCAACGAAGACTATGCCGGGAAACTCACCGAGGTTCTTCTCTTCCGTGAGCGCTCGATTTACCGTCTCTTCCAGGGGGCATGGCAGTATGCACAAGCAGAGGAGTTGAAGCGTGAGGCGCGGTCAGAGCAACATTGACATGCGTGTGTCTATTCTGGACCTGGGACTCAATTGGCGCTGTCTCAAAGGGAGATCAAAGGCACACAGTCCATATTTGGGACCCCTCATCAAGGCAAACCCACATGTGTGGTGGCACAGGGGAAGAAACTTGGAGCGGTGATACTGAGCCAGGTGGTCAAAGGTGCAGGATCTGTTCGCCAGCTGTCTGATAGAGGCACGTGAGAGGTGACAATCAATCGACGACATGCGCAAAGATCGCATGCCTAGAAAGATGTGCGCAGAAAGTAGGATTTTGCAAGGATCATAAAACATGATCTGTAGCCTCATGTCTCAGACTCAGACGGATGATTCACGAAGAACCATGTGCGAACTCAAGCGCATGTTGATTAACATATTTCCTTTGGCTCGCTTCAGAACGGAACACAAATCAGATGCTGTGCATCAAGTAGTGAGGGACAAGCAGCGAGAAGCAGTATGCAAGGAGTCGATGCAAACGGCATCGTAGAAGCAGGGAAAAGCAAGCAGCTTTGCGCAAGCAGCTTCGTGGAAGCAGCTTCGCGCAAGCAGCGCAGCGTAAGAGCGCTGCGGAAGCGCTCTTTGCGCACCGCTCTTGCATCGAAGAGTTGCTACTTTGCAGGCTCTGCGAGAATCATCAAGTTTGCGAGGATCCCGAATTCAAGCGAGGTGTATCGGCCATGTCCCACCTACTCAAGCGCAACATTGAGACGCTTTCTCTCAGCTCGGCAGGACGGACTTCCCCGACCTGCGCTTGCCGAGCTTGCAAGCTGTCAAAGCAGGTTCTCCTTGGCGCGTGCCTTTTTGCACAGGGTGTGAAGTTGTCAAGGTTTTGCGTCACCCCTTTGGCGCAGACCAAAAACTGTCCTTCCACACTCTACTGGGTATGGGCCTTGGTACCTCCTCGGTGAGGCGCTCGCAGTTGAATACGTCTTGGCAGCGCAAATTTCCCTTCGTGCGGATTGAATAACTTTAAAAAACACGCAGTCAATCGACGTCTTGGCTTGGGTGACCCGCCGTATCTTGCGATTTTGGAAACTGCTTCGACTGCCGGCAGTCTCGCTGTTGGCAGTACGCGTTGCACGGACCCACGCAGACACCCAGCAGTTTGCCCGCCCGTCTTGCGGGTTTGAAACCAAGAAAGTCACCTTTGGTTCAGGGGTTGGAATTCTAGATTCCCGGCGTTGCAATGAAGCTTTTCGTTGAAGAAGACAGAACCCAGAAAGGGTCATTCATCGCATAACTTGGGGACTTGGCACGCATGCTTTGGCCATCGCTGCCGACGAAGGGCGACACCGATTGGTATTCGGCAGCGCGCAAGGCAACTTTTGCCGTCCTTGGCCTCCGTCACTAGAGCGTATATTCTCCTCCTCGGACGCAATAGTTGACGCAGCCAGGGCAGGTCCAAGCTTCACACAGATTGGACCAGGCGTGGGAACACGTGCACACCTTCTTGCGTAAGGCTGGGCGCCGGCTTGTATGGAACTGCAAAACCGGCAAAGACCCCGCCAACCAAAATGCGTACAGCTGGATTTTCAGCGTTTGCCAGATTTACCTTGCCAAGAACTGTTTACCAAGTAACCCACCGAGCAGCAGAGAGAGCGCGGCGCAACAGGTTTCAAGTTTCACAGCTTGTTGAACTCCCCTCAGGATCCCGTCATTTGCCTAGAGTCGGCATGTGTGCGCCAGCGTAACGAAGCCGCTGCGAGGATCGGCAGGGCGTACACACGCGGCAAACCATAAACTTTGGAGGCGTAATTTCCAACCGTGCTCTGCAAGTCGTACAACTTCCAAGTCCAATACCCAGCATGTCGATGAACCGACCCCCAGGACAACACAGATATTGTAGATTCCACCTGAATGCCAAGTGGTTGCCCAAATGCTACAAGATCCCAGAGGTGGGTTTGTTGCAGGATCGCTGGGCATTCCGCCCAACACGCCGGGTTCATTGGCTATCCCGATCCCAAGGTTCGAGTTCGCCAGACCCGGAAAGGCAAGCGCACCTCTGAAAGCAAAATGTCAGTGCACCTCTGAGCCTCAGACTCGTGTTGAGCAAGTACACTCGTGTTGAAGGCAAGTTGCATCGTATGCAGGCACAGTTCAAACGCAAGCGCCCTGCAAGAAGCGCAGTGGAAGCCACGCAAACAATGCAGTGCAGAGTGCAGATCTTGTGTTGCCTGGCACCCTTTGCGCTTTCAGGAAGTCAGATGCACTATTGACCGGCAACAGGCTTGTTCGCCGTGCACTGTACATGAATGGAGTAGCGAATAGAGCGAATGGCAGCTTTGTCAGTTCTTGTGTCAGTTTTTTCAGGGCGGCACCGTTGGTGGAATAGGGAAGCTCCGCAAATCAAGCAGTCCCAACATGCAGCCCCAAGATGCGCGGATGGCGTCTCATAGCAGCATCTGAGGTTTTTTTCATTACAGCAGAGTTCTTGGTTTGTCGCGGGACCAGTCCAGCCCTCAAATGTGATGCGCTTGCAGATGAAGCTGTGTGAGCGCTGAATTGTTAGCACTGGCAGCTGTCCAGGACAACTCTGGATCCTCATGTGGCTCGGCATAATCTGCAGCGTCAATGAGGCAGCTGGAGAGCAGGGTGCCGTCACAACCTGATAAACTCACACGATGTGTGTACAGGTTTCACCATTTGTATTGCACAAGACACTTTGGCTGGGCAGGCGTACATATCTTGTGCAATTCGCACGAGTAATATAATAATTCGAGTATTTCTGAGGCAGTAGGCCAAGCATTGTAGTTTGGCACTGGCCAGGGCATTGTCAAGAAGCTGATCTCGGAGCCCCGCCCGGGCAGCGCCCTGGTCAAATGAGGGCCCAGGTTTTGGGAGCAAGTGACGTGCAGGTTGTGGGTGTGAAGCGCTCGCGCAAGTTGAGGCTGGTGGGATTCGCTGTAAGTTGAGGCATGATGGAGCTGCGCGGAGACCACGGCCTGTTGGAAGGCTCTTGCGTGATCAGCTGTGGCATGCCATCCAGCCATTCGGCCACTCGGCAACCACCAGACTGGGCATGCATCAAACGCATGCTTCCCAAGGCGATTGCCATGGGATGGTTTATACTGTCCTCTCCTTACGGCGAGAGCATCGCTTTCAGAATGGCGCAGTGGTGACCGTTGCAACACTCGCGTGCGTGGCTGGAGATCGCTGATGCAGGTCAATATTGGATGCAACAGCTCGAACGCATTTGAGCGGCCCGACTGCAGTAGCAATCATCTCATTTTCGGACGCAGAGATGTCGTGACAAGGCCCACGAGATGAGGATTCTGTGCCAAGTTCAGGCACCCAGCAAAAAACACACACCTCCCCCACTCATAAAGAATGGGGGACTTAAAACTACATATACGTGCAAGATTGTGATACATTGCGACAGCGAGATGCAGATTATCGGTTCTTTGCAATGTCTGAGGCCGAAACAGGGGCCGTTCTCTTTTGGCGACGGAGCGGAAGAAAGTTGTTGACTTCATGAAGAAGCTTTGCTGCAAGTCAATCCAGAGCCCACAACTTCTCGAGCTGTTTCGTATTGGCGAGTGTTTTGCTTGCAAAATGGATACTATTGTGAAGATTTGCGCAGCGCACATCTCCTTCATGAAGAGGCAAGCAACAACCGGAATCCTGCGATTGCAGCACTGAGTTTGCGCATGCACCGACACTGGACTCAGGAATTTCTGCAGCCAAGACGCACTGGCCGCAAGCATTTCACAGCGTTGGGAGTGTCACTCCAAGGCCTGGTGCCATGGGTCAAGAAGGAGGTCCTAACAGTCAGGGAGTTCATCTCCTTTGTCACCTGGCCGACGAATTCTGCCTCGATTTTACCTTGCATGCGTAGCATTTGCGAGACCCTCTTCTGGTTCTTCCTTATGGCAGCAGCCCAAGCTCGAGTTCTCAAGACTGCCAAGCATGCGTGTAGATGGCTAGGTGCCGGTACCCTTCATGAGGGTGGTCTTGAAGGATCACACAGCAAATCAGGCACACCGTTCACATTCACTTGACCACTTTAAAAGCAAACGAACAAAGCCCACAACAACTCTACATGTTACCAATGTTACCAATTGCACTTGACACCCGTTTTGACCGCTAGGCAGTCGCGGGCTCTGGCCTGGGAGTCCTTCTTGCCATGCTGTGGTGGCGGACCGTGAGGGTGCTTCAGCGCAGGCCAGAGCAATCCTCACGACTTTGGAGCTTTGGGACCTTTGGGACCTTTGGACCTTTGGACCTTTGGAACGTGGCCAGGTACAGGGACTTGGAAGGCTGTGATATCTGGCATGGCCTGATACGCAGACACCTTAGTGACTTGGAGGGCAAGATTCTAAGATGCCAGATGAGTCCCAGGTCACGACTATTGTCTTCCGATTCCTGAACGTGATGACAGGGATGTGAGGCCTTGCATAAAGCCATGCTTTCCAAATGTTGCTTCCCAGCAAGCACGGACATCAGCACAGCGCTTTGGCCAGGCAGAATCTAGAACTGGGTCACCGCACGCACACGACATTCTGAAATCAGAGCTGAGTTGCTTCCTGTGGAAGCGCACACCCTGCCACGGTGCCTGTACTCCAGCCGTTGGTTGCTGCGCCACAACACAGTTAGCTGGCTCAAGATCCTCCAGGGGAGACACACACACTCACAAGAGTTCTAGCCATGCGGTTTTAGTTAGTACGAGCTTTCAGACAACGAGATAAGTAGGTCAGGGCCGTTGTGGCTGGATCATGTTCCACCATGGCTCACTGATACAGCGGTACCTTCTGCAAAGTCCAGGCCTGTGAACGGCTGTTTGTGGGGAACGCCGAAAGCCTTCTGATTTGCCAGGCACAGACGATGCAGACGATGCAGAAGTAGAAAGCCAAGAGGCAGCTTCACTGCATGCCTGGGTCGACCTCAGAGCTTGTGACGCAGGAAAGGAGTCGCTCCCCACGAGCTGTCATGAGCGACAGCCCAGTGAAAGCGGGCCATCTCAGAAGAAACTGCTTTGAATTGAGCCAGCCCATGGGGCCTTGCTCGCTTAGATCAGACAAGTGCAAGCAAGCTCAAACTTGACCGGCTACTCGGCAGCACCTGGGGGTTGCTTAGCACTTGAGCTCTTCAAGTTACCAAGTCTTTCCAAGTTGCTCATGCCAAACCCAGCTGTTCCATGCCTGAGAGCTCCCCTGACAAAGCTAGGTGACTTTTGGTTGTCTCCAAAGGACCGTCCCTGTGATGAAATGGGCGAGGCACAGTTCTGCAGTGCGGTTTGTGCCAGGACTTGCAGGGGTGGCAAGATGAGGCGACCAAAGAATCTGTGAAGTTCCAGGCCTGCACAGCAAGGAATGTGACAGGAATGTGGCATGCAAGGAGGTGCAGAGAGTAAGATGTGCAGCCAAATTGCCAATGCATGCGACTGCCCTGGGGCTGACATGGACTGTGCAGGCGCGGTTAGTGCTGCCCACTGGGCAGCGTCCACGTGGCGTGCCCGGCGTGCCCATGCCAGATGCCGCCTTCGGTTGAGAACATTGTCTTAGGTGATGGCCCCATGGCCATCGCGTTTTTCTTCTCGGGTTTGGGTCACGAGGCAGGGTCGACCAATTGAGCAGCATGGTGCATTGACACCTGAGGCACAAGACATCCTTGATATGGACTGGTCTTCTGTCGCCTCCTTCCCCTTTATCCTTGTAGTTCCAAATCGACCAGCCGGCAGGCCAGGGAGTTGGCCCAAAACTCGCGAGATGTGAAGCGGACGAGCTGTGTAGGTGGTGGTTCATTGATGATGATACCCATTGGGGATGGTTGCAGGCACCTGTGTGAGAAGCACCGCATGAGCTACTCTTGCACACATCTGTCAGGGCAAATTCAACTCCGAGGCTGCCTGCGAGAGCGCGTGATGGAAGAAAAAACCATGTTGTCATCACAAGGCTGTGGCGACATTTGCATCCTGGATGAATCACATGATCAGTCATGAACGTGTGGATCGACAGCACGTGTCTCAGTCCATGCACAACCCTTGGGCAGTGCAGCAGCATTTTTCTTGAATCTAGAGCACTGCATGACCCAGGAGAGTTGGCCTGTTTGGCTTCTCTGCCGGAGCGTGTGCGGCTTTGTCACGGTGATGCGAGAGTGGGAATGGGGAAAACAGCACATCAGCAGCAAAACCACATCTGCGGAATGAGGTACGCGGCTGTGGAGATCTTTGCAAGTGGCCTTGTGCCGGTTACTGGCTTTGCCTTGGGTGGCGTCCACGGCGCGGAACCTTCGCTGGGGTTTCGCTCAGCTTTCTTGGCTGCCAGGTCATGGGCAGCCGAATTTGAAGCACGTGCCAGTTGCGAGGCGATTCGCTGAGCGGCTCTTTTATGCGCATTTTGAAGTTTTGGGCAGGACGCGAGGCGTTGTCAAGAAATTCGAAGCCTTTCTTGAACGCGTAGCAGAGCATCCCGGCGCCCACCATGTGGAGGCCCGGAAGTTGTTGCAGCTTGGCCGGATGAGAGAGACCCGAAGGTGATCCACGGGAGAACCGACTTGCAGAGTCCCTGGCAGGAGTGGGTTGGAGTGTCCGTGCATTCCGGTTTCCAATTTTGGTTTCCGGGGGCCCGGGTTTCCGGTTTGAGAGCCAAGCAGGATGCCAAGGAGATCCTGGAGACTCTGAGTCGGCGGCAGCAACAGCTGCAGCTCCCGAAGGCCGGAAGTCTTTCGGATTCCGACCGGATCGGAACCCGTCTCTCTCCCACGAAATGGTTTCCTCTAGTCCCTTCCGAACCCCCCGTGAATAGATGCACGATGCACTCTATTCATTTCATCCAAGTATTTTTGCCACCCCACATTGGCCAATACTAAGCCAATTCTGACCCGACAAATGACGTAGTTTTTTGCTGCTCAATGGGGGTGCTTGAATAATTGTGGTTACATGACAACTGATTTATATCATATTTTCGAATGGAAAGCAGATCCTGTGCAAATTCAATATAGAGTCGAATCCACATTCTAACATAACATATATATAGATTCTGATTGGATTATGTCCTTATCAAATTCTGTTGAAACTCTAAATTAATTGTGCAGTTCTATTGGGAAAGACACTCTATCTAGACTAAATTCAAGATATAATTTCCAGTAGGAGTTTGATCAGGTATCGCTTTGTTGAGTTAAATCCAATTCAGACTCAAACTGACTTTTTGAGGGCGGCCGTTGGAGGAGATGCGAACTGAGTACCAAGAACGCTACAACACCGTTGTTTTTTTTTTTTGTGTTTGGGACCATGGTAGTGCTGGGGCAAGCAAACATTCTACTGACTACTTTTATTATATTCTGCTCAATTTCCAACTGACATTAAATAGAATGGCATATGGAAGGACTCCAATATGAATTTCCATTTTAAATTAGAACTTTTAAAAACACATGATTATTCATTTTTATTCTCTTTCAATTTAACTGTTTCACTGCATGTCTTATTCACTAGAATTTTCTTCACAATCAGTAACTGAAATTAGGAATGTTTTAGTAAGGCTGTGGCCTGGATGTGAACTCTGCAAGTCCGCTTGAACACAAATGAGCGCTCAAATGCTCTTGCAAACAGACCGGAAACGGGAGAATGCAGCAAAAGTGAAGCAACCGGGGAAAAGTCATGCCCGACAAAGAACTGTCTTTTGTTTTTTTCCGGTTTTCTCAAGGTTTTTCAAACAAACCAAAAACAATAAAACGAGAACACCAGAAGACAGAGAGAAGAACAATCAAACAAGATTGTGCCCCCAAGGCAAGACAGCGGATAGTTGTTATTTTTTGCTCAAGGTGTTTCACACTTTTCCCATTCAATGCACAAGCACTCAAGGAAGCCAAAACAACAGGACTATGCCGCCCAAGTCGGGACGGTTGACATGGTCTTGTATTTTGTTTGTAGTCCACATCATCGCACAACATGTACAAAAGGTGCACCCAGGGCATCCTCTTATATACATATATACAATTTCTCACACCCCCTATGAACTACTAGGATATTTTGTGGAGACTTATCAAACTCCATTTGAATTGTTCGAAATCGAGTTACATCGCCATTAACTTTATTAAACTTCCATTTGGAAAGGAACTACTTAAATTCTAAATCAACATTGACAAATCCAATTGTGTCCTTCTTCAGTTCTAGCAAACGTCTAATTACATATATTTTCAAATCTCATTAAATTCTTCCCTTTTTAAGTTCTCTTCGTGGAAAGGATGTCTTTGAGATTTTGATTGAACATAGATTGTACAATGGATCTCTTTCCTTATTAAACTCTATGAATATTTTTACTGGTTGATATATATATATATATAACTTCATAGGTTGCAAGGAGTTTCCCTTCAAATTCTCATTAAAGATAGACAGTGTAATGGAATTATTTGCTGTTTACAGTCCATTACAATTCTATTTAAACTTCAATTATAATCCAATTTGGCATACGTTGCCTTATAAGGAGCTTGATTACTAGGAACTGTATAAGGAGCGAAAGCAGCTTTTCAAAAAGTATAGAGAACTTTATAAGGAGGCTTAAAAGGAGCCTTGCTATCCTTGCAAGCAGCTTCTCAAGGAGCCTTACAGGAAGCTTACAAGCATGTTTGAAAGGAATTGTACAAGGAGCCTTAATAAGGAGCCTAAAAGCGAGCTTCATATGGAGTTGTGTAAGGAGCTTCATAGGGAGCTTTTACAGAGCTTTCTGAAGAGCTCTATAAGCAGTCTTATAAGCAGCTTAACAAGTGAG